TCTAGGGAGTAAAATACATTTTTTTAACATACTAACTAGTAACCGACGCCATAACCCAGTTTCGGAAATAAAAGAAACAGATGACGTGGACTTACAGTGTAACGCATACGCCAGTTTTCTGGCAATAAGTATGGAGAAACATTTTGTCAGACAATTTTTACAGCGGTACTTAAAACCTGACAACTGTTTGAGAGAATAAATCGAAGAAATCACAGTCATTGATTGGTAAAGCCATCAGCACTGATCATCCCCGATCACGTCTGAAGCTAAAATTCTCACAGTTCGTAGAAAAGCACTTTTAATCCAAATGCTTGTCTTGAGAAGAGTCAAGCAAAAGTTAGATGACTGATTTTTGGATTAGTCCACTCGGTTTTTCAGAGGCCCCAGCCAGTATTGATGATCTGGAGTGTGCATTTCACTCCTTGGGAGATTGTTAATTCCTCACTGGTTCAATACATTTAAATGCGATCAAAATCTTTGTGATGATAGACAAAGATCACTGAACAGCTGTTTCGTCCAGTTTGGGTCTCGTGTATACTTGTTGTGTTCCTGTCAGGACTCGAACAGCAAATCTTCCGGTTGGTATTCAACACCTTAAGCAACACAGTCGACGCTCCTTACCCTGTGCGAATGGCTCAATCAATCTAGATGGTGAACGAGCTTATCCAGACGTTGGTTGTCCAAATTGATTGAGCCATTCGCACAGGGTGAGGAGCGTCGACTAAGTTGCTTAAGGTGTTGAATACCAGCCGGAAGACTCGCTGTTCGAGTCCTGACAGGAACACGACAAGTACACACTGCTGACGAGTTCCAAAGTGGACGAAACAGCCGTTCAATGCTATTTGTCGATCATCACAAAGATTTTTGTCAAACATAATTTTTTTGTTTTAGGCGGAATACAGCGTGACTGTTTAAACTAGTGCGCTAGACTGAACTAAAATTCGTTGGTATTAATGCGGTTTGTGAATTAGTCATTAAAACTACATACCAGTTTTGCCGTCCTATTTTTAATCCTGAGTTATCGACGAATATAGATTTTCGATCCATATACATTTCACTTCATATCATTCATATGATGTCAATCTCTAGTGAGCTTTACGGACAAAACATTGATTTGATCAGTGAGCCTAAGGTCAAGCCAGCATTAATTATAACCGTCTGAATGGGACATTTTACCCTCTAATTGGGCCTTATAGTTAAGTACTTTGTTACCAAGCCGTTCTTTTCGTTTTTACCATCAGCGATCTGTAAGGAACACATGCGTTTAAGTATCCCACATCCCATTACTGCGGTCGTCGGTTTGTTAATCGTATACGACATGGTCACCGAGTTTATATCCAGTCTGATTTTACTTAGACACGCGGGTCAGCCATGTTCACTAGCAATCGCCACCTATAAGGCTACATCAGTTCTCCACATCACGATCCAGAGTCACCTACGTCGCTCTTTATTTCACGGTGATCCAGTTCGTACTGTATTTATTGATTACCATCTTCCCTCCTCTCTCTTCTACCCGTTCAGCTTCCGGACAGTAGACCTTAATTTGCACTGCCGTACCCACCTTCATAAGTATGATTTTGCAATAAAGAACTCCTGTGCATTTTTGCTCCATACCGGACTTTATTCCCCTACTACAACTGTACTCGTTTTCATTGTTCCTAACTCAGTACTCTGGTGATGGTGTTCCGTTCATTTGTTTACTTGAGGATGGTTTGGTTGCGCTAGTTATTTTGTTAGCAATATTTTTCATCTTCAACTCAGCTTGTGCACGCAGCGCTTCCGTCTGCTTTAATTCACTACAAATATTGAAAACCACTTCCCCTTCCCTGCCTTGGATACAAAGAGCCTAATTTAATTGACTATGATTGATTAGAATAATTTTCAGCTGCAATTCATTATCAAACTTAGCATCCTGTTCAAGTGTAGTATAAGAAAACTGTGATTGATCATCAACTTTTGAGTTAACCGTGAAACGGTATTGAAGATCATAAGCTTCTGCTTTGGTTAATATTACTTACATCCATGGAGAGAATTATTTATTACATTTTGTATTTTTATTTATCTTCCCGTTACTCTTTCGCTGCCGGCCCCGCTGAATACGTTCTCGGATAGTGGCACTGAAAAAATATTCGATTATTGTCCAATTTTCATCAACCATCCTTAAAAATAAATGTTCGAAAGCAATCCAGAAGATGTGAACCCGGTCGGCTTTTCCCGTGCGAAAACCGTTCATTTTCGTCCACTGTAAAGCAGCTTAAGTAATTTGTATTCCTCATTTGTTCTATCATCAACTCATCTTTTGGTTGGGTCACGGATTCCCCGAGAAGTTGTATTGTTCTCTTCTAACTGCCTCCATCAACACTGTTCTCAGTCCGATGACCCAGCAGGGGTTTCGCGCTTTCACCCCAGATATACACTCGGTAAGATTTATCCATCTGACATCTTTTATCAAGCCACGAACCGCGTAAGCGGAAACTGAAAGCAATCCAAGGTCCGTCCGGAAAAACTATGAAGTGCAGAAAACTGGAAAATTGTTCATTTTTTCTTCTGTTTTAACACAATGGTTTTGTCACCAGAACATATCATTCCGTTTGTCCTTATTCGGAACTTGGATAAATCCTAGAAGCGGTGAATAATGACCATCAAAACTATACTAGGAAAATTGAACTGTGCTAAATGCCCATCAATATGGCTTAAAGTATCAAACATATGCTGTATTCAACATTTCGTCTTCAGTGATCAAGTAGGCTAATCTGATTTGCCTCCACATTTGATCGGGTTTTGCAAGATAAATTGGCACGACCTATCACTTTTAAACTGTCCACTAATTCCGGCTGCCTGATTCAAACCTCCCTCACTGACCGCGTCTTCACGGCGAATAGTGTTAGGATCTCATGCATGGCGTTAGCGTAAATCGAAGTTCCGTGATTATATATATATTTTTTTTCACTTATCACTCTTATATCCGGAGTCTTTTACCTCCGCATCTAACATCCCAGTCGGAGGAGCTGTTGCACCACATCTAGGTCGAAATTTTGGTTTATTTAAGGTAGTGTAAAATTTGTTTGATTCTTTCGCAATACATATTATTCGATCTTGTGATTTTTCACCCTACCTCCTCCTATATCGCCGTTATTTACAATGACACTTTATAGCTTTTACTTGGTGTTTTCATTCTTATCGAGCGTATCCACATGTGATTCCTACCTTCACTCTTGCAAACAGCGTTCTGCAATCCTTTCAATCAATCCGGAGTTTGTGATTCCACAATTATACCCCCGTTCTCGAAGGATGTGGTTTGCCTCAAACAAACAAAGGTCACCTTCATTTGTCCTCTGAATTGAGCTGTTTGTCTCACTGTTGACCCTTCGCAAATGTTTTATCATCTAACCGCCCGCACTGCTTCTTCTCTTTCTGACTGATACCAGCACAATCTGTACTCTCGAGGTCGATCGTTAGGGAGCATCTACAGCGACCGTTTCGCGTGCAAAACGAATCATTTTTAAGAAGTGTCTTCAGAAAACTGTGAGACAGTAGTGCTGTTTAATTTTTCCTCTCAACATAACAGCAATAAGGCAGGCTAGTTAATCAACAATTCATTCCTTAAAACACTGTTTTTCCGTCACAAATTTGAACAACGAAGTCAGTTCTCTGACTTCTCTGTTCAAATTCATTCCTTGTTTCTATGCAAAACCGATAAACACTCTGCCCACACTTTCTGTGTGCACAGTACTCGTCGTGACAGAAGAGCGCGCTCGGCCACTTTCTGCTTGTGATAAAAAAGGACAGTCTATGAGAAACCGTTGACGAGTGTCCATCTGTTCGAAATTCCTGATAGTTCATTTTATTTGGGCAATTCAAACTCTCGAGATCATTTTGACTATTGTAGAAAACAATCAACGGGTCATACATAATATGATGAACCCATCATCATAAATCTTATCAATGGTACGGTGTGTCTACAATCTCAGTTGCTTGTTAGTTCATGGAGAGTGGAATCGGATGCTGGTAACACCAAAATTATTTTTAAATTCCTCTCATTAAATAGATGAGGTATGAAACATCAGAGCATGGGGTTGGTAGTGGATGCCAGTTACGATGCGAATAAAAGTAATCGATATCGAAGTGATCGATGACTAAATCACCTCATAAACAACAATCGGACAACCCTGGGTCTTGCAAAGAAACTGGGGGTGGGTTAGTACCTTTTAACTTGCTATCGTTAATTTATGTGAATTTA